GGGGCGTCACACCAGCCAGGTGACGGAGGTACTACCAACCACAAGGTGTGACGTACCGTAACACAAGGATAAGATTCTCAATAAAAGATCTTACGTTGATTTTTCACCTTAACAGGAGACTTTCCAGCGCCTCTGATTGGCTGATTGAGGTTGTGATTCATTGATAGATTCTCAAAGGATCTTACAATATGATAATTTTCTCACTGATTGGTGGCAGAAGAAAGAATGAGGCAACGATAGAGTCTCAGTGCAACTTAAACGCCATTCTGGATGTTATCTTTGTAGTGTAATGTAAGTCAGTTGAGTTCTGACATCACCAGCCAGGATCTAGGGGAGGGGTGAGGGGGAAGGGAATATAGGGGAGAACCTATTGCACTGTATGAACCTTAGAGACTCCGGACAAATGTTTCTTTAATGTTCGTAAGTGAATAAATTCCCTTAAATGGAGATTTTTTTTACGAGACAAAAATGGTGAGCAAAAGGATATCACTGTTGCGCTGAGACTCTACCTCAGATAAGATGATGTTACGATAGAGATGACTGTCAGGGTGGTGATAAGAACATAAGAACATAAGAAAATAAGGAGTCTGCAATAGGCCGGTTGGCCTGTGCATGGCAGCTCCTGTCGAGAGTTACTACCACTCTCTATCATCCATGAATCTATCTAGCCTCCTTTTGAAACTTTCCAGCGTTCCAGCACTTACTACAAAGTTGCTAAGCTTGTTCCACTCGTCCACCACCCTATTTGTGAACCAGTTTCTTCCTATCTCCCTCCTAAACGATGATGATGATGATGATGGTGTGGTAGTGTTGGTGGCGACAATGTTGGTGTGGTAGCGTTGGTGGTGACAAGGGTTACTGTGTGGAGGTGATGGTGGTGGTGTCGGTGGTGATGGTGTCATTGGCTCACACTTGGTACAGTTATGTGAAGGCAACTATCGTCTGCACTGAAATATATACACTTAGCTCTTTGAGATGTGTGAATGTATGGTTAAACACACACACACACACACACACACACACACACACACACACACACACACATATATACACCGGATTTTCCCACTTGAAATCAAGCTTTACGTCCTCTCTCTCTCTCCCTCAACCACAATTCTAACAGGTAAATGTATTTGCCTCACGTTATCACCTCCACACAGTACAGTATTACTCCACGTAAGGGCCGACACAACTCCACGTTAAGGGTAAAAAGCTGACCCACACAGTAGGAGGCAGTCTAGTTTTTTGGTGGGATTTTATTTATTTTATTTTGTTTTGTTTACAGTGTGTCGGAAAAGTTATGGTTCAAGAAAGGTTACCAGTTACAGTAAGCCCCCCAAGGATATTAACACTGGGGACTGGTGAGTGGTGTGGTAGTGGGTGTTACTGAATGAAGGTAGAGGCTGGCCATAATCTAGTGGGTGAGAAATAGTTAATGTTTATGTTTTGGTGCTACTGAATGTTATATTATTACTGGTGTATCAGTCATCGAACCCAATATGTGTGTTATGGGCTTTGGTGACATTCAGGTGATCGATTGGGACTTACCTGGGTGTAGGGAATGGAGTGAGGGGATAAACTTTGGTGTAAGTGTGTCAACAACTTAGTCATGTGTGATGCTGGGTGGAGTGGTGGATAGAGATGAGGGTAGGAGCAAGAACTGAACCTTGAGGTACTCCATTATTGATTAGGATGCTGTTATAATATGAACCGTCCAATACTGTATGGATGTTGCTTCTTAAACAAATGAAAAGTGTAGGGAGAGAGAGACAAATGTAGTGGTCAAAACTATTCACTGCAAAAGACTGAAGGTATAGTGCAGCAGAATGTCTTGCACTGACGAAGGCTAAATATAGGGAAAAGACTCAGTGGCAGGGGACGACATGGGGTGCAAGTCTGAGGTGTGATTCAATTTTGGGAGAGAGAGTTTCTACAAGGCTGGAGAGAAGGAAGGAAATCTGGGAAATTAAAGAATAAGGGAGAGGAAAATTTAGCAAGGAGAGACTCATACCAAAATCTGTCGAAAGTCTGAAGAGTTTAGATCCATCAAGTACAACAAGATTCACTGTAGTTGTCAAGAAGAAAGTCAAGGGTGTGAGTCAGGGGAGGAAACTGGTCTGTGGTATTACTGCCGGAAAGAAACAAGGGAGGAGGTGCAGGTGTTGTGAGGGGTGAGTAGTTGGCTGTTTGTTGACGACACAGCCCATGACCTTGGAGATGATCGAGGTAAGGAGAACTGTGTGACTGTATAGTTAGAGGGAGAGGTTGGGTTATGGCTCGTGTTTTGAAGATGAAGAAACAGAAATTTAAGGAATAAGAGACTCTAAACTTGTCTCTCCATTTAGTAAAAAATGGGTATATTTTAGTCTTCCAGCAGTAATATTCTTTCACCATCTATTCCTCTACAAAAAAATTAAATGAATCCTGTGGTAAACTAACCTAACTGACCTTGTTGCTACACCAGAAATATACATCAAGTGACTGGACAGCCTTCCTATGAACTACTAAACGGACCGGATTCTTTTATTATGAGGCAGGAAGACCCCAGAGTCACGTGTATAACCTGCCCACACCACCACCATTGACCCGTGACCTTATGGAGCCACTCAACCCAACCTACTGCATGAAAACCTGATGCGAGGAACAACAGTATGAGAAGATGATGTGTCTGTGAGGGGGGAGTGGGTGATATAATAGATGATGTGTGTGTGTCGTCAGGAGGAAGTAATACAAGGGAGGCTACAGGGAGATTATCTCTTGTGAACACCCGTAATCGTCTCCCGCGGCGGCACTCATGAAGGCATCACACACACACACACACACACACACACACACACACACACACACACTACTATAACACATACAGCAGGACAGGTACAGTTTATATACAGATACAGGTATAATTAGAGGTACATATACAGATATAGGTTCATATATAGGTAGAGTTACAACGGTAGGAAACAATAGAGGTACAGTTGTAGACACAGATACAGGTAAAGGTAAAATAATTAATAGAAGACTTACAATAGATCATGTATCAATAAACTCACTTAAGTACTTACAAAGGAGGCATTTGATTTATACACCTGATCATACTAGGAAAAACAAACCTCTTCAAGAGAATTAATTATATCCGATAAAGTAAATACATACTTAAACTCCGTAAATTTATACACTTAAGTAAACATCATCATAAACCTTACTTAACAACATCTATTTAAAAGTGACTGTTTGTTGCTGAGTCGTGGGAAGACGTGAGCACCAGTCAGCCAGTTATGAAAATATATGAAGACATTTAATGGTTGCGCCAGGGACACAACACCGTGACGTCATGCGGTTGATACCCGATATAGCGCATGACTCACGCCGTTGTCTCGTTCACCGCATGTCCCACGCATGTCTGGCGCGTTGTAACCCACATTCACCGCATGTCTTAACCTATATAATATTAACCTTCAGTGTCTATGGTTGTGTTCTATGCATGTCTTACCTATGTGTCTCTCCTGTGTCTTATCTATGTGTTATGTATCACTCATATCACACGTGCCCGTAATTGTTGTTTCTAGAAATAATAATAATAATAATAATAATAATAATAATAATAATAATAGTTGTCATCATCTTTATCAATATTCCTATTTATAGTTTCTTTGTCACTATCAATATTATCAATAATATCATGATCATTGTCATCAATATGACCAATATTGATAAAAATAACATCCATAATAATACACACACACACACACACACACAGAGAGCAAAGAGACTCTATGTTTTATATCAGCTTGAGCAGATGAGGCATTCTGGGTTTTTAATACCTGTCAGTGACCCAGAGATAAAAGAGACAGTGTGTGTGTGTGTGTGTGTGTGTGTGTGTGTGTGTGTGTGTGTGTGTGTGTGTGTGTGTGAGTGAGTGTGTGTGTGTGTGTGTGTGTGTGTGTGTGTGTGTGTGTGTGTGTGTGTGTGAGTGTGTGTGTGTGTGTGTGTGTGTGTGTGTGTGTGTGTGTGTGTGTGTGTGTGTGTGTGTGTGTGTGTGTGTGTGTGTGTGTGTGTGTGTGTGTGGAATGTTATCAGTAAACCTTAACAACTCATTAGAGAGGTGATAAAGAAGGTATTTCAGGTAACTCTAAACATATTAAGTATTGTGGTCTGGTACTTCAGGTATGTAATGTGGGTCCGTTATCTACTGGTAGTGACTAGAATTTTAATGATGTGATGTACAGTCACAAGGCTTCATTTATAGCCCACCCTGGCCGAAGGGAGAGTCAGTGCCGGATTTAGACCTGTGGAGGCCCATGGGCAGCCTCTTTGTGGAGGCCCCCCTCATTATAACTATCCAAGAGGGTGGGGTGGTGAGTGAAGCGAGCCTAAACATCTGGGAGTTCCGGGGGGCGCTGTAAGCCCCCCGGGAAAATTTTGAAATTTGAACACTTCTTTGGACAATTTTGAAGCCATATGCAGTTATATTGAGGACATTCTACAATATATGTTTGTGGAATTCTAAATATATTATTAGCAACACAAACAATAGCATTCATTAAAAATATACGGTTCATAGGAAAACCAGGTATTCATGAATTTCAAGGAGTAGCTAGCCTAATTTCTATCACGCTTCTTGCTGAACATAGTTTTACGTGATGGAATAGATAAACATGAATTTTAAAGAATGAAAATAAAAATAATCCAAATGAATAAACAAATAAATAAAATATTGTAATATGTGCAGGCCCCTGGGCAGCTGCCCACTTTGCCCACTCCTGAATCCGGCCCTGGGGAGAGTTGAAGCCAGCGGTCTTTCTGAACGACTGGCGACGGCTCACCGTGACAACACACGAACGACCACACAACCCAACA